TGCCCGTAGCCCACTAACAAATGCTTTTAAAGTATCATCGCCGCCCTCCCTCCTCTTCCTTCCCTTCTTCTTTTTGGGAACATCCTCAGCAACTTTTACATCACATAGCTGTATAAAGATCACAGTTAATGAATATATATCACAGGAAATATTCATATATCACAAGTAATAACCAAACATCACATGTAAACTGTTTACATCACATTATTAGATAAAATGTCACAAGAGATATATGAATGGCACAATAGGTAGACAATTGTCACATACCAAAGGGAACTATCACAAATAAGCAGTAAATGTCACATGCAATAAGCAAATATCACAAAGAAAAGTTACCTCCTCCAGTTCACTGCCCATGGCCTGGGTTTGATCACCTTCTTTGCCTCCCTCCTTTTCCTTCCCTTCTTCTTTCTCTGCCTCAACTTTAGCCTGTATACCACTCACAGTTAATGAATATATATCACAGAAATAAGACATGAATATATATCACAGGAAATATTCATTTATCACAAGTAATAACCAAACATTACACTAAACTGTTTACGTCCCATTATTAGACAAAATGTCACAAGAGACATATGAATGTCACAATAGGCAGACAATTGTCACATACCAAAGGGAACTATCACAAATAAGCTGTAAATGTCACAGGAAAACAACAAATATCACCAAGGAGAGTTACCTCCTCCAGTTCAATGTCCATGTCTTGGGTTTGATCACCTTCACTCAATGCCTCATCTATTTGTGGCTGCATAGATGTAAAAACAATAACCAATTTCAATTCAGCAAATATTTTCTCAATAATTTTTTCCCCTCATGTGACACAGGACATAGGCTATTACCTCTCCTTTGTTTTGCCTTATATCTCAATAATTTTTTCCCCTCATGTGACACAGGACATAGGCTATTACCTCTCCTTTGTTTTGCCTTATATGTTTCTCCTCAGCAAATTTTTTCTCAGTTTCAGCTTTAATAGCCAAAATATCAACGCCGCGAGCAACAAGTGCTTGCTCATAGGCTTCATTCAACATCACCAATTTTTCATAAGCTTCGTCCTACATTAACAATAAACTGATAGTGAGCAAAAGTCACAAATAAGAGGATGACACATCCAAATCATCAACATTACCTCTTTTTGGACTCTTTTCTTCCCCAATGATTTTTCACCCGTAACTTCCTCCTCAACTTTAGCCTTCACCGTTGTAGGACTGGGCTTTATCTCCTCATGAACATACCTCGCCACATCTTGCTCCGGTAAGATGTGGATTGCGGCTTCCGATTTCTTCAAAATTATTGTAGTCCGCACCGAACCCACCTTCTTACCCTCCAATGTCCAATTTATCATTGGTGGCTTGGATTCATCTACTCTTGCCGGCTCTTTGATGTTAGAAATCTCATAATACCATAGCTTCAAAAAAAAGGCCACATTCAATCAATGAAGTATTAGATACAAATGTTATAGATAAATGGCAATAATCACTTACAAGAAGATAAATTCACACATTAACTACAACTGTTACAAATCAGGGACAAATGTCACACATGGGTAACAAACGTCACATATGATTAGAATATATCACATGTAGAAGACACTTATCACATATAACAAGATAATATCACATTTAATTGGAAATAATCTCATATAACAAGATAATATCACATACAAACTACAAATAAATAGGAAACTTAAACAATACAAATTAGATACAAATGTCACATATAAATGTCATATATCACATGTAAAACGTAATGATCACAGATAAGGTGCAAATGCAACATATTACTTACAAATAACACATATAACTCACCGATAGCAAGGGAGCGCAGCCGATGAGATATGTCTGCCCCTTCTTCGCTATCTTCGCAGCCTTGAAAGAGTCCCACAATTCCTTGTAGATGATCGTCGCCCATGGCAAATTATCAACCATATCTATCCGAGCTATATATTTGAACATATGCCGGGGTGCATTCATTCTCACGGTCGGAGTCCATATCATTGTGAGTTGATAGAGGATTTAAAGCATAATAAAATCAGAAACATCCGTCCTCTTTCTTGACTGAACCAATCTTTCCAATAGGGCCTCAAGGTAGTCTCGGCCACTCTTGTATTGCGATTGTTGTTTGTTGGAGAAGTATGTGTTCCATATCCTATTCTCTGTGTCGCGGTTGCCTTTGGGTTTCTCTCCTTCATCATTAAACCGGGTATGTTTACGCACCCAATTTACATCAAAAGTATACGCTTGTGGAGTCCTAGTTTGGCTATCCTTGAAAAAGAACTTCCCCGTGGCTAAATCCAGATGATCTAGAAGCAACATAATCGTAGCCTTGTCCGCTGGAATTGGTCCAAAACTAACATAATTTTTGAAATTGGAGGATCCATACGCCCTCCAATGTTCAGCCCTCATCCGTGGAGCAATTCCATCCATGAATGTACAATATCCACGTATATTGCAAGAAATTCTGATATCATGCGTACTGTAAAACATAACACAACAGATACTACTTCAACTTAGAGTTCTAATACGGCTAAAATCACAGTGCCAAACACATTAAATCGTCAAATGTGAACGATTGGGTTAATACTTACATCTCAGGCTTGCTCCTCGCTGATTCAGATGAGTGAGATGATGATGTCGACATCCCAGCGAGCGTCACTGTTCGGTTTGGCAGAGGTACTCCAGCGACTCGCTTGCAGTCGGGGGCGGGTCCTCGTCGGCACCGCGTGACCGTCGGACGAAGCGCGGCTGCACACGTGAGTCGCGCAGAAGAGCAAGACGACGACGAGGGGCGTCGGTCGATCTTGAGAGGAAGACGACAAGGGGGCGTCGGTGGTTTCGAAGAATATGACGAGCGACGGCGCGTCTCGACAAAGACGACGAAGACAAAGTCGACGAGAATCAGATCTAATGTGAGTTGCCGAAGACGAAAACGACGACGATGAGTGGCCGGCGGTCTTCAGAGGAAGAGGTTTCGAAGAATACGATGAGCGGCGGCGCCGGTCTTCGACGAAGACGACGAGCACGAGAAGATGGCGAAGACGGTTCCCAGCGTTGTTCGTCGACGGTGGTTTTGGGAGGAGGAGAGTTCAACAGGGAGATAGTCTCGAAATTTGTTACAGTGGTTTCGATAACAACGCTCAGAAAGGGATGGTATAGTGAATTGAGAAGAGTAATTTGGGGATACTTTTTGGGTAGTGTATCTGCTACTTATTTTGGGGCTTGTTGTATTTCTTTTTCTGTATAAGGGCTTTGTGGTTATGGTTTTTTGGGCTTGGGGTGGGATGATGGCCCAAATTAAGTTGGTTCCCCAAGCAATTTTCCCTTTTTTAATCACATGATGGAAAATGCATAAAATAAATACCCGCCAAGTGATAAATTAGGTGGGGTGGGGGTGGGGTGGTGGGTCGGGGGGGGGGGGGGCGTGTTTCCATATTCGCGATTCGCGAATTTTTGGCCGACGACTAACATTTTGGTCAATTTGCGCAGTGGAGCCCGATTTAAAAAAAGAGTGGCTGTTAGGGGCACACCACCAACCACAATCCCAACCACACCCCCCTCTCTCATCGCTACAGTAAACGCGGGCCCCACATTGGATTTTAAAAATTTTAAAATCCAATGTGGGGCCCGTACTATACGAGTGAGAAGGGGTCTGCGTTGGGGATTGTGGTTGGTGGTGTGCCCCTAACATTATTTTAAAAAAAAATAACAGGACACCGGAGCAAGGAAAAAAAAAGTGAAAAGTGATAAAATCGATGATGATGGTAATAATAATAACAACACCACCAATAGGAAAATAAATAATTATAGTAACAAAAAAGGGTTAAAAAAAACCCGATCAGAGCTAAGTAGGGCTGAACATGGTTCGGTTCAAACCGAAAAAACCGACCGAACCGACCCGAAAAAAGCGGTTTTAAGAGTAAGACGGTTCGGGTCGGGTTGACAACTTTTCAAACCGACCCGACCCGAACCGACCGAATATATTCCCAAAACTTTCAAACCCGTTCGCGTTTACCCGACCCGTCCCAAACCCTCAACCCTAACTTCATTTCCTCTCATTCCCAAATCCCAGCCGCCGCTACTCATTCCCAATTTCCCATTTCGCTCGGCCTCAATCCCTCTCTCTCGCTCTCTCTTCTTCCAAGACCCCTTACTCTCCCCTCCTCTTCCCGAAATGCCCCTCTCCCCCTCCCCCTCCCGCAAGCGTGGCGGCCCCTTCGGCGACGAGCGCCAGGAGTTCTCCTTCAACTCCATCAAGAAGTCCAAGTCCTCCGACGACTCAAAGGAGGACTCGAACTTGACCTCGAACGCTAACGCCAGCGACGGGCCCCAGCCGACCCCCCACCGCCGTCCTCTCCATCTGCGCCGCCGCCCTCCTGTCCGACCCCCACCCCCACCTCCACCCGGCCCTCAACTTCAAGCTGTGGAGCCCCTCTGAGAAGCTCAATTCTTGCTTCGAGAGCATTCCAGTCTCCTCTTTTCCTCCGGCTCCTTCCTCTCAAGGTACGTAGTATTAATTTTTCTTCAATTTCCTCTGTTGTTGTCTTTGAATTGAACATGAAGTAGGTGGAATGGGCGCTTCTTGTTGGAGTATGTTAGTGCCCTTCGAGTTGGATTTTCCCCATTTAATCACTCAATTCAGCACTTCTGTGTATGTTATCCCTTGGGTTAGTTGTTGATTCAAGTGTGCACGACGCTTAAGTATCTTAGCCGTGACTCAAATGATTTGCATTTGGGCGCATATGAAAACAAATATATACAAATTATCTCTTGTGACAAGCAATATTTGTGCATTTGATTGTTCTACTTGATAAAAGTTAGAACCGAACAAACCGAACCGAACCGTACCGAACCGATTTGCAACGGTTCGGTTCGGTTTTGAATTATAGGTGGTTCGATTCAGTTGTTCAAATTTTGGTAAAAACCGACCCGAACCAAACCGTGCTCACCCCTAGAGCTAAATGCAAAAGAAACTAAAAACGTGCTTTTCGCGTTCACGCCCCCATTCCCGTTGATAACTCCGTTCTTTTCAACATCTCTCTCTCTCTCTCTCTCGATGATGGAGACCGCGAAAGTGAGGATCGGATCTCGAGAATCTCGATGGATCTCTCGCGAATCAGTCGAAGACGAAGAAGAAGATCACGCGAGGGAGGAGGACCAAGAAGACGGCGAAGGAGTTGAGCGCAAGCTGATTCGAACGACGCCGGTCTTCGATCCTCTCGACGTGGAGGCCAACGAGGTCTCCATCCCCATCAAAGACGATCTCGATCAGGTACCTCGATCAATTAATTGAGGTTGTTTAGTTGATAGAATAATTTGTTGGATGCAAGTAAGGGCAGAATATGCAAAATCTTGGATAGTTTTTCCTCTTTGATAGTAATAGCCGATTTATTTATTATTATTATTATTATCTCTACTACTAATGCTATTATTATTATTATTATTATTATTTTTATTTTTATTAGTTTTTTTTTGTAGTATGAATGATGCTCTTACTTCTTCGTTAGATAGTGAACTGATCTTATTGTTTTGAATTGATGTCTGTAGGAAATGTAGAGTGTCATTTGTTAGAAAATGCGAGAAACTAAAGGGAAGCCAAGTTAGAGATTTTAGCTATAGTTTTTATAGGCTTTTAAGAGAAAGGACACCACGCTTTTCGTTTCTAGCGGTACAAAAAGAACTGTAAGGATTGTAGGATAGTCATTATTATCCACAATAAAAAATATAATTTTTTCTAGAAAAAATATATAATTAGCCATTTGATGTTTATGAGGGTGTTTTATTTGGTATTTGAGGTTATTTGTTGTCTCGATTTGGAATTGGATTTATTTGGTACTCTGAGATTGTTTAATTGATATTATATTTATGGGATAAAATAGTGGAAATTGAAAATTATTGATGGAAGTAAAGCCCAGAATGTGCAAAATTCTGATTTCGCAGTATAAGTTATGTTCTTATTTCTTCTTAGCAAATGCGTTAGTGGAGGAACTGATTGTTTTACTTGAAATGTTTAAAAAATGTGATTTATTGATTTCTTAGCAAATGCGTTACAAGTACATGAAGCTAAATTAGAAATTTTAACTGTAAATTTCCTTGAAAATACATGTACGAGACCAAGGAGAATTCACCCTACAACCTAGTTGTTTAGAAGGAGGGATCTCAAATCCCTTATAAGTCGGCATTGACACATACCGTTAATGTGGGACTAAACAGGTCCTAACATATCATCAAGCTCCTTAGATTCGCGATCTTTGCGCTATTCTAGTCCCAGCCAAACACGCTATACTGCAATCCTCATGTCACCCCTTCTGGCTTTCCACTAGACTAGTCTTGGATTAATACGGCGATGTGGGCCTCATTATCTGTACTGCAGCTACGGCTTACTTGCAATTAGAATATCTTTGATATAATTTGTAAGAGGCCTAAAGAACTTTATCCATAAAACCTAGTAGTGAGAGGGGAGGAACTCAAATCTTATGATCCCACAATTGATTCTCCATGTTGTCAATGTAGGACTAGATAGATACCAACAACATTGTGATCCTGTAAAATTATGATTAGTTATCTGATACGTAAGAGATAGTTGTAATACGTAAGAGATAGTTGTAAGAGTGAGACACATATAAAACCCATTTTCATACACACACACATACAACGTGTACACACATGCACATACATTCTCTATGAGAAACATGACAAGAAACAAGGCAATGTGCATGCCTCAATGAAGTGGATAGAGGCTCTTTAGAATTCAGTCTTAAGATTGGTCCTTAAAATCATTTTTCCACACACACGTGTACACATATATCATATATGTTATATATGTGTGTGTGCGCGTGCACATGCACGTGTAGTTGAGCTAAAGTGGATAGATGCTCTTGTCCATCCAAATTTTTAACTGTTAGATGGACTTGATGATCGAGAGGTGCATCCTTAGATTCAATCTAAGGTGGTTCCTTAAAATCATTCTTTCATATACATATACATATACACACACATATACATATACATATACATATACATATACATATACATATACATATACATATACATATACATGTATATATGTGTGCATGTAGTTGAGATAAAGTGGATAGAGGTTTTCATCCATCCAATTTTTTAACTATTGGATGGACTTGATGATCAAAACATGATGTGATGAGTTGGCAACTCATTAATGTCAAGAAGGGTAACATGGTAAAGACAATTAATATCCCAAAAAAGAAATAAAAAACGCTCTCCATTCTTTCTCAGTTTGTTCTTTGATCAGGAAGAGCTACCGTCTTCATGCTGCTAGCTCCATCTAGTTCTATTGCAGACCACAAACAGGGTGTCCCTCATGGCAGCGAGTGCTCTCCCTCTCCCTTAAGTTGTTATAAGAACTATAATGAGTTTTGTTATATCTACCTTATATTAAATTGTTACTGGAGTATGGAATTATAGCCATGAAATATTGGCGTGGAAGAGTAATAGGAATAAATCAATTAGAGTTTTGTTTTGATCTCCGATCAGGCTAGTTTGCGGATCTTTTGCAATTTGTAGTTAATGGTGGGGCGAAGCGATGCTCAGTTCATCCCTTAGATGTTTGTAAGCTGTAACTTTTGGAGAAATAAAACTCACAGTCTCATTTCTCACCAAATTTCCTTCTTCCTTTCTTCTTGTCCTAGTTTGAACTCCAACTTTAGCAATGGCTAAGGGATGCAATCTTAAACCAAAATTTAATGTCCGATCCTTACAGTTCAGGGTCAATGTAAAATAATTTGAATTTAAAGCCGTTTAGTAATAAAACGGGGCATGAACGAGTGAAGGATCCCATATTCATCTAAGCTATAAAATTCCTTCAGAAAACAAATGTAAAAGAAGAACAAGCAAGGTTTAAATATAGGTTATCAGAATATATCGGATGACCAAAATTCATATCGGATCCTGGTTATCAGGGGTATATTGGGGATAAATAGTAAAAGTCGGAGTGTCATGTTGGATGATGAGCATATATAATATAGTGTCTTTAAAATATAATCTAAGTACATTTAATAAAGTATCAAGAGAGGATCTTCGAGAGAGGTCGTCGATAGAGTTCTTCGAGTGAGAAATTTGCAAGTGATTTTGGGGAAAGGACAGTGGATGCGGAGAGAATTAAGGTCACACGATGAGCGAATGCGAAATAGAATGTGATAGCACGACTTTTGTCTAGTGGATGCGCATCAGGTATGCGAAAGAGGTTTTTTGCTTCCAAACCCGAACCAGTTCACTTAAAATGTAAATCGTAGAAACTTGAACGATTTTTAATCCAGGATTAATCGACCGATTTATCGGATTTTAAATGATGTGCGATAATTTTTTGCAGAAATCGTATCGACCATGACTCAAACCCTATATATCGGCCTATATATCGATAATAAATTGATAAAATCGGCCTATTTTTAAAATATTAAGAACAAGTTAAGAACCTTTACTCTTTTATTTGAAAGATAATTAATTTTAGAACTATAAAAAAAGATAGTTTAAATTAGAACTATAAAAAAGATAGTTTAAAAAATTTAAGATACTACATATTTCTCCAAATTAGTATTGTTAGAAATTTTGATAATCAAACGAAGAGGTCTATATCCATTATTTCTCACATCCTTATGGTTGATTGTCTATAGTACTTTTTCAGAAAGCCAAGCCAATGAAAACACTTGATATCTAATTTGTCTCGAGATGAGAGAGGTCAGAGATGGCGCTTATGGCAGGAAGGTGGCAAGGGGACGAATTGTGCTAGGAGTGAGGGAGCTTGTACCGGTCGCGGTGATTGAACGGGCGGCTCTTCAAAGAATTGGGGATGCAACTATTGATGAGGGTAGTGGAGAAAAAGTTTTCTATTTTTTGATGATAGTTGTCTTTACTATATTACCATTACTTTCATTAATGAGTTGCAAACTCATCCAATCATGTTTTGATTATCAAGTCGATTCAACGGTTAAAAAGTTGGATGGAAGAATCTCTTCACTTATAGTAGCTCAACTATATGCATGCATACATACACACACACACATACATATATGTATGTATATCTATGTATGTATATATGCATGTATGTATGTATGTATGTATGTATGTATGTATGTATTGTTAAACCCTAATGCCATTAGGAAAGAACCCTAGAGGGGGGTGAATAGTGTTAATGCTAATCTAATCCTATTTAATGTCAATTAAAAACTTATTAACAAGTTATTCTAGCAAATAAGATATGCAATAATTATATGTAAGGATAAGCAATATAAACAAAGGGTAAAATAAACAAACACAAACAATATAGTGGATAAATTAGACAATGAGAAAGATAATTAATTTTAGAACTATAAAAAAAGATAGTTTAAATTAGAACTATAAAAAAGATAGTTTAAAAAATTTAAGATACTACATATTTCTCCAAATTAGTATTGTTAGAAATTTTGATAATCAAACGAAGAGGTCTATATCCATTATTTCTCACATCCTTATGGTTGATTGTCTATAGTACTTTTTTCAGAAAGCCAATGAAAACACTTGATATCTAATTTGTCTCGAGATGAGGGAGGTCAGAGATGGCGCTTATGGCAGGAAGGTGGCAAGGGGACGAATTGTGCTAGGAGTGAGGGAGCTTGTACCGGCCGCGGTGATTGAACGGGCGGCTCTTCAAAGAATTGGGGATGCCAACTATTGATGAGGGTAGAGGAGAAAAAGTTTTCTATTTTTTGATGATAGTTGTCTTTACTATATTACCATTACTTTCATTAATGAGTTGCAAACTCATCCAATCATGTTTTGATTATCAAGTCGATTCAACGGTTAAAAAGTTGGATGGAAGAATCTCTTCACTTATAGTAGCTCAACTATATGCATGCATACATACACACACACATATATGTATGTATATCTATGTATGTATATATGCATGTATGTATATATGTATGTATGTATGTATGTATTGTTAGACCCTAATGCCATTAGGAAAGAACCCTAGAGGGGGGTGAATAGGGTTAATGCTAATCTAATCCTATTTAATGTCAATTAAAAACTTATTAACAAGTTATTCTAGCAAATAAGATATGCAATAATTATATGTAAGGATAAGCAATATAAACAAAGGGTAAAATAAACAAACACAAACAATATAGTGGATAAATTAGACAATGAGAGAATGATGACAGAGATAAACAAAATATAAGTGCATAAGCCAAACTCAAAACACACAAGAAATGATTACGGAGTTCGGACCTTCCGTCCTACGTCTCCGCTCCCCACTCCTGGGGAAAAATCCACTATCACACCGGGTTTTCAACGTTCATCTGAAAACGTTTACACCACATAATATCGGTTTTCAACGCTCATCGTTCAACGTTCACAATCACTCACAATGTAACTACACAAATTTCACCTCAAGTGTTGGCCTTTCACGTGTCTTCCTCAAGTACTCGGAATTACGACCTACCTCTAGACATTACCACTGACCTCACTCTTCTTGGGACCGACCACATCTCTCACCTCTACACTCCTCTTGGTGTATTTGTGCAATACAAAGTGAAACCTCACAATTAAGCTCTACAACAAATAATTATTCTCTAAACAAGGTGAGAACTCAATTAAGCTCAACTCAATGTTACAAACTCACAACTCCAAATATACTATGTATGAAAATACTAAAAGCTCAAGTGGGTGGGTGTAATAATGAGAATAAAATCAAAACTAAAGTCAAATAAATTCTAGCTTATGGAAATAAAAATCAAACATATAAATAGCTAGATATGATTTTAGAAAACTTCTCCAATGAATGACAAGAGAGAGTGAGAAGAGTTGAATGCTCAAACACCAATGGATGATCTCCTCAAGCTCTTGTGAAATTCTCTTCACAAAACCAAAACTTAAAACAAACTTGAAACCTTTAAACAAGCATGTAAAACTCTTTTAAAACTTTTCTCTTAGTTGATTATAGAGCTCGGTATAAGGGGAGTATATATAGGAGACCCTAAAAACAAGAAAAACCCAACAAAAAGACAAAAACCCGAAAAACAACGAGTCTGAAAAACTAACTGTTATGCAGTTATAAGTCGACTTGCTACAGTGATAAGTCGACTTGTAACTAGCCGTTACAATCAAAAAATCAGCCCATAAGTCGACTTGTAAATATCATAAGTCGACTTGCTATAAGTCGACTTGCGTTGTCTGATAAGTCGACTTGGTAGCGACAAAATGAACATTCCAGAGCATTTCATAAGTCGACTTATCAACCATGATAAGTCAACTTATGAACATGAACAGGCACAGAGACTGTGCATGTCCAAAAATTAACTTTTAAACATTGATAAAAAATATCAAATAAATTCTAAAAAATGTAAAACTTTGGAAAATATTTATAAACATGATAATAAACATGTTACAATTTTTTTAGAATTGCACTTCCCAATAGAGAAATCTCATCATTTTGCAAAAATGTTCAAAACATGAAAATGAACAACATTTGTTTTTGACATTTTAGCTAAACCAGGTTTGGAACTTTATAAAATGATTATATAGACTTAATAAAAGATGTATATAATGATTGTTAAGTCCATAAACAAATAACTCAACAATTTTCACAAATTTATATTTATATAAACTTGAAAACCAAAAACCAAAATGTGTGTATATATATAACTATTTACATATACATAGAAACCAATAAAATGTGTGTATATGATATTGAGCTTAAAGTATTAAACACACAAGTATAAACTCCTAAACTAAATTACATAAGCTATCTTGATCTTCAATAAGCTCTTCTTGGTAAACTTTGCGGATGAAGCTTGATCTTAAATTTGACTTGATGTACAATGGCTTCATACCAATATATCTGCCAACCTCTATTTGATGTGATCGTTATGGCGCAATTCCATCCAACATCCGACACATTGTTTGTCTAGAATACCTAATAAGAAAACACAAACACTAGACAAACAATATTAGAGATTGTTTGTAAATCATCATCAAAACAAAAAGGCCAACATGTGTGTGTGTGTGTGTATATATATATATAGATAGAGAGAGAGAGAGAGAGAGAGAGAAGTGTATGCTTCGTAAATTTTGTGCTTGGGATTGCAATCTCATTTCCATCCACTCACTTTAAAGGGGACCACATTCACATGGGTTGGATAATTAAAGAGTGGTCATCTTTAAGTGGGGACCGTTTGAATGAGTGGATGTGAATGAACCACCTCACTATCAAGCACAAAGTTTGTGCTTGGTACCAAACATACCTATTTTTCTCATACATACACAAAAAACATGCATACATCTATGTGCGTAGGCACGTGCGTGTGTACCTTTTCCTCCATGAGGTGGAGGATATAAAATGTCACAACTGTTAAAAAGTATTTATATGGTAGTAATATTATCTTTCTAATTTTACTTTTGTTTACTAATTTCAGGAGTTTAATTTGCGGAAGAGCATTATACTTGCCCTCCAAACACTGGGAGTTGTATTTGGAGACATTGGAACAAGCCCACTCTACACATTTGATGTGATGTTTAGCAAATCACCTTATCATAGGAAGGAAGATGTTATTGGAGCACTCTCTTTGGTTCTATATACTTTGATTCTGATTCCATTGATCAAGTATATATTAGTAGTTCTTTGGGGCAATGATGATGGTGAAGGTACATTGGAGGTTGTGCTTTGTCTTTGATTATCGGCTTTGTTTATTTTTCTTTTTTCTAGAAAGTTTTAACTGTTTTCAGCTTTTATTGCCTTGAACCTGTTTCAGGGGGTACATTTGCTTTGTATTCATTGATATGTAGACATGCAAAGGTCAGTCTACTTCCGAACCAGTTGCATTCTGATACCCGAATTTCAAAATTCGGGCTCAAGTTGCCATCACCAGAGCTCGACAGATCTCTACGAATTAAAGAGCACATTGAATCCTCACTGGGACTGAAGAAGCTTCTCCTTGTGTTGGTACTTTTTGGTACCTCTATGATGATAGCAAATGGAGTTGTCACTCCAACAATGTCAGGTAAGCTTCTATTGCTATTGGGAATCTGGGATGAGGTTAGGGTTGTAGTATTAGTAGTGTTGACTGTGACGTATACTGCTAGTTTATCTTAGTATACATTAATGAATAACAATATGGTCTTCCAATAATTTTTTGTTCATTTATTTCGTGCGTTCTTGATTATGCAGTTATGTCAGCAGTCGGTGGTCTTAGAGTTGGAATATCCAGCTTTGAGCAAGGTACCATAGACTATAAAGAATGCTCTCAGAAATTTATTTTTGTGTCCATCTCAGTATGTCTTATCTTATCAGCCAAGTTAGCCAAGTATGTAATCGAATAACAGTGGATTCTAAAGTATTAGGTAACATGCAATAGTTGTCATTGTTAAATGGTGTACATAGACTTGTGTCTCCTCAGTAACCTGATTTTCAAACTGCAGAAATCACCTTGTGAAGTATGACTAGCATATTACCATGAATTTAGTAAATTTTATGGTTATGAATCCTCCCTAATGTGCACTTTATTACTCTCTTTTAACTATGTGAATACAGAGACAATAAAAACCCACCGATAAATCCTTCTACCGGAATATTGTGTCCGCAAGATTCATCCCTTTTCCTGTCCAACTCAGATAAGGGCGAATGTCAATGTTTACAGATAGTTTTTCAATCGGTTGATGGCTGCATATACATGCTAGATAAGTGAAACTACTGTATCATGTAACTCAGTTATTAACCTTGATGTTTTTACTCATATTAGCATATTGCATAATTCGATGGCTATGATTAGATATTCTAGCTAGGAACAATTTAATGTGGCATGAACATATCCTATCTTTTGTTTCTTTGTTTGTGCCTGGCTTGCTATGTTTTTTAGGTTGAGTGTACATTAAATCTCGCGGGCATCCTGAACAATTTACTGACTCATAAAAAGGTTATGAAATATGGCCTACCTAGTGAAACCCAAGTAAAACATATTGTAGATAAAAAGCTAAAGAACAATAAAGGATGGACACTTATTAATGCTTGCCGTACCTGTCTCAAACTGTGTAAGAAAAAGACACGAACACTCCATCAACACCATATTGAAAAGTACTATCCATGCTAACCTAAAACTTTAAATTTTTTTACGTTTAAGATGCAGCCAGTTAGCTAATTGGTGCCATAAGATTTAAACAGATTCAAGTAGCAACCCCTTACCTAAGAAGGAAAACTAAAAGAAAAGAAGTGCATGAAAAGTTTTTCCTCTCATAGACCTTTTTGGGAGTGTCAGTTAATCCCAACTAGATGGAGGTTACCTACACTATCAATGAGACTCACCATTCATCTCCAGCCACCTCATCTCCAGGGGCAAATAGCTTCATTCAAAATTTGTTTAAGTAATTGGTTGGTTCTTCTTCTAATAAATGTTGCAGTCTCAACAGTAAGTTATCACTTTTTATTCTTTATTTTCGATGCACATGTGTCCCATTGTCCTGTTTTTTGGTAATGTTGTGTTCCTTGTCTGTATTGTGTCCATTACTTCATAACGTATAACTAGGTCAAAACCCTGGAAACCATCTGGCATTTCAGAGTGCATTTGCACCATCATCTATTCTTGAATTGTTTTGGTTACTCACATATATGGCTTGTTGCCTAAAGTATAGCTATGCTTTTGTTGCTTATTTGTAGTACAGAAAACATTTGTTGATTGTGTTATATCAATTATTGCAGATAAAGTCGTGATGATATCGGTTGCATTTCTCGTCATATTGTTCAGTGTACAAAAGTATGTAACAAGCAAAGTGGATCTTGCAGTTGGACCTGCTCTATTTATATGGTTTTGCTCCCTTGGGCTTATCGGTATCTACAATCTTGTGGAGTATGGTGGAACAGCTTTTCTGGCATTTAACCCTGTTTACATCCATTATTTTTTTAAAAGAAATTCAACTCGAGCTTGGATGTCTCTTGGTGGTTGTATTTTGTGTGCAACAGGTAAGAATAGAAAAAATGTTCTAGCTTGCTTTTGTTTATTCTCTTGATGTTTTCAGTGAGCCTCAAAATGATAGCATTTCTTGTTGCAAACTGTGTTTTCTTTCAGTGTTTTGACACTTAATTTGCAAAAAGCTGAATCTAATGCTGCTTAGATATTCATGGCAACAAGTACTTCAAATTAGCTATTAATTGTGGTGGAACAGTTATTGTGACCTTTAACCATATTTACATCTATTATTCCTTTGAAAGTAATTCAACTCGAGCTTGGATGTCTCTTGGTGGTTGTATTTTTTAAGCAATTGGTAATAGTAGAAAAATTATGTTCTAAGTTGCTCTAGTTTATGCTCTTTGATGATTTCATTGGTTCTCAAAATGATAGCATTTATTGTGGCAACTAATATGAGCGAACTTTTTGTTCTTTCAGTGTTCTGATATTAAATTTGCATAAACTGTTTCATAGATATTTTATGGCAACAAGTACCTCAAATTAACTAGTAAAGAGAACTTGGGCACATATGAACCTAGAAACCAGTTTAAAAGTTGATCGTTGAAGGCAAACTGACTGGCATTTGCAGTATAAGTTACAGGATAGACTTATTGCTTGCTCTTCTCTATTCCAATAAATGATGCTTGCTTTAGTATGTAATGAGGATAATCCAGTTTTATTGGAGAGTTTTAATGCATATGTTATATCCAAAAAGTTCTCATCTAAGATTTTCTTTCCTCGTGCATTTTTGCCTCATATTATTTCTGACAAGCACTTAGTATTATTACATGCTACTATATCCTCTATTCATGGGTGATAGTGTTACAGGCTCTGAGGCTATGTTTGCAGATCTGTGTTATTTCTCTGTGAGGTCTATTCAGGTAAAGCATTACCTTGCAGTGTTTGTATCTGTCTCTTCTGTCGTAGTTATCGGAACTTTCAGAGGCTTTTTTTTTCTTCATCTCATTAACTTGATTATTTGTTCCAGAAAATGTTTGTGTTTCTGGTTCTACCTTGTCTTGTCCTGGGATACCTTGGTCAAGCTGCATTCCTCATGCAAAATCAAAATGCATCTGAGCAAGTGTTCTTTTCATCAGTTCCAAGTAAGTTTAAAAAAATCTTTGGGGTATTATTTTTTATTCTTCTTCTAGGGCAAGGTATAATCCCTCCCTCCCTCCCTCTGTGTGTAGGCATGTTCGCATGTGCATGAGAAGCGTGTGCACATGAACATAAGCAGGTGTTGTCCGTGTGCTTAATGTAAGTGTGTAGGTAACTAGGTGTGACGTGTCTGTGTGTGCTTGTGTGTGGATGTGCTCAAATGGGTGATTACCTGTCAGTTGTCCACTATATTTAACTAGGTAGATGTGCATGTTAGTTGATGTATAAATATAAATATATGTATGTAGATATAGTTGTTTTTGTGCTTGTGCGTGTTTTTATGTAGGCATGTATCTATGTGTATATGGATGTATGCATATATGCATGCACTATATATCGATGTAAGTATGTGTGTATGAGGGATGTACATACCTACATACATTATGTACGTGTGTATGTTTGTGTGCGTGCGTGCGTGCATGCATGGGTGGGTGTGGATGCGCCTGTTTTTGTGCATGTATATTTTTGTGTTTGTTGATATCTGTCCCTGAATGTGAAAAACTACATCTCCACAAAATGGGTTTGCCACATGCATCTAATAACATGTGTATAATTGTGTATATCTGCCATGTGATGTGCATATATGCACGAATTAATCTATGGATGTCTTAGTTTTTTTCCTGTCACATATTAGTGTGCTTATATGTGCATCAGTGCATGTTCATGGTTTCCTCTTACGCCTCCCTTGGTACGTGGAAATAGAGTCAAGTGAGAATGAAAAGAAGGTAGGAATGGAATGGAATAGATGTGAGAATGGAATGCGCATTCTCATTCTCATGTTTGGGCGCGTTTAGAGAATGAAATGGGAATCACAATCTTATTCTCATTCCCATGTTTGGTATTATTTGTTCACAAGTGATTTAGACACATAATTTTAAAAACATAAAAATATTTTAAAAATGACTAAATAATTCAATTTTTTAGAAAAATAAGTTTTATAGAAATGATATTTTTTCCTTGTAGAAATAATTTTTCAGTTGATAGTTATATTTTGGTACACTGCCTCAACAACAATTTCGTACTTCTGGCTTACTAATTGAAAAATAATTTTTATAAAAATTATATTTGATTATAAATAATTATAATTCCAAATTTCTGACTTCTAATGCTACATGTCTATTACTTATACGAGCAGCTAATGCTACTAGCATCATTGTGCACAAACATATACAATAAATTGAATTCCATATGCATGCTACATATGATTGAATTTCATGTGCATGCATGGAGAGAGAGAGAGAGAGAGAGGAAGAAAACACTAAATTTTAAAGGATTAGAAAAACATGTTAACTTTTAGTCTGTATATAAAATTTCTATGAAATTTCAAATGCACCTTTAACTTTTAAAAAATTGATTAGGAATAGAAAACACGTTAACGTAGAAAGTTTGAAGGAATATAAAACATGTTAACCTCTAATCAAAATTTAAAGTTCCAATCTCATCAATTAAGCACATTATATCTTGTTGTGAGTACTTTGGAAAAAATATTAAAAAGATTAGGCATATATGCTTCAATGGAACTTCAAATCATACGTCCAAAGATAAAATATTTGCTTAACTAATTGTCAATAGATTACGTAACCGAGTTGCCAAAAGATAAAAAAATTATTGTAAAGATTAGGTAAAGATTAGTCACACATACATATATTTTAAAAAGAAATAATGGTTACCTAACCGAATCATCAAGCAGAAGAGATTTTTTTTCTAGTGCAGACATGATGGAACTAGGACAAAGTCAAACAAAGAATAATATTTTAATATTGTACATCTATTTGTATATTTGTATGAGCAGCTAATGATATTATTTCTATAGAAATAGTTTTTCATATGGGAGTTTATATCTATTCGTATCTTTTAAGGAGGGTATAATTAGAAATTATTTGATTATTTTATTCTCACTTAAGTGAGAATATCAATTCCTTGTTAAATGGTTGTGAATGACAATTCCCACATAAAGTGAGAATTGATAAGAAGTGAGAATAGCAATTTCAGCGTCTAAAAATACATCGTGTTTGGTATGTATGAATAAAGAGTTGGAATTGCATTCCATTCCCACTTATTCCCGCATACCAAACGAGACGTTATAGTAGAAGTTTGTTTAATTTAGGATCCTTACATTATTTAAGTGTTGTGAGCAGATGGAGCTTTTTGGCCAATCTTCTTCATTGCCAACATAGCTGCACTTATTGCAAGCAGGGCGATGACTACAGCTATATTTTCATGTATAAAGAAGTCAATGGCTCTTGGTTGTGTTCCCCGCCTCAAAATCATTCATCCATCAAGGAAATTCATGGGTCATATATACATTCCAGTTCTAAACTGGTTTTTGTTGGCATGCTGCCTGGCATTTGTTGTCACCATTGGAAGCACAAATGAGATGGGCAATGCATATGGTAAAACAGAATCACTTATTATGCTAATTCTTTTCTCTGCTTAAACAGATGGTTTTGTTTCCTCATTTGGAGTTTGATTGCCCTTCACATGTACTATGGTTTTAAAATCTTGAATATTTATCTAGCCTTATTTACCGATCAGACATTAGAATATTTATTTTCAGCTTATGATGGATGGAGATAGATCTGGCCATCTTTTCTCTCGTCACCTTACTTGTTACCAGTGCAGATTTATATTCTCTTTCTAATCTTTTCTGCTACTTTCTGTCCGTAATTTTTGGCCATCTTTCCAACTAGATCTGGGGAAGTTCTGGCTCTCTTTTCATCTAATATTTATACTCAAAAAACTTAATGAACACTGGAACTTCCATATAAAGCCACTAAAATGGATCTGTTCATGTCACTAATCCTTCCATATCTTGTCTTAGTTCTTCCTAAACTCTCAGCCTATAAGTTGCTGTTTTCCTCAGACGAACAGGTTTATATGTCACATAAACAATAAGTTACATTCTGAATTTCCTAGATTGCGTAAGTTATTATGGACAGAAGTTATCTCCAAATCCACAATTCCCCTCATAGGTTTAGATTGAGAATTAGTGCAATGATATCTCCTACTAGCCCACATTAGCAAGGTGCCAAGACGTATTGTCATACAATGGTATGGACGGGCATGAAATATATAGGGAACTAAGATAATGTCGAAAAGTCTCCACGATATTATATTTACAACTCGATGTCAAATTTTCTCCATCCGGAGGAAATTTGATATAGGACAAGTTTCTTTTGGAAGAGCACAAATGAACAGATGAAGAAAAAAGAGAAGAAGTTTCTTACTTCTTAGTAACTACAATAAACATGAGAAAACAAACATGAGCTGAACTTCTTTTTGTATTAGCTTTTTGATACTCTATAAATTTTTTTGTAGCCTTATCTACATAAGGCAAGTTATTAAAATTTTAGTTATTTTGAATTTTAATATATTCCAAAATGTTTGTATAGTCTAGTTATTAGGAAAGTCTTCTATTTCAGTATGATTAGAATTCTTTCTTATTAAGGATCAGATTTATTGGTGATCTAGGTTTGTAAGTCTATAGAAGAATGGTCTTCCTTCAATGAAATAGGCAGGTGTGTATAAAAAACCTTATTTCTCTGCATCGTGTGATGCAATTTTGGACTCAAATTCCTAATTTTACTAAGGTGAAATCTCAAAAGTTTGAAACTGTTGAATCTTTTCTCCTGTCCTTCCAATGTCAACTGCTTATTTGTCTCAACACTATCATCTATCTTAACTTTACATGATTAGGTTTCTGTTATTTATTTGATCAGATAACATTCAGGAAGCACTTCAAATATGTGGAACATTATGCATGTATTATGGACAATGCTTTATTTGTCTTACAGAAGAGTAAGAAGAAACAATTTATTAGGTTGCTTGACAATTGTTATGACTGTCTACAACAGTTCTGTTTCTCATTTTCTTCTCTTAATTACCAATTGCTCTTTCAAGTGTCTTTTTCTAAGTGAGTCTATTCTGCAGGAATTGCTGAGCTTGGAGTGATGATAGTGACAACTATCTTGGTGACTCTTATTATGTTGCTGATATGGCAGATTAACCTCATTATTGTGATGTGCTTTGCAGTCCTCTTTTTGGGGTTGGAGTTGGTTTTCGTTTCTTCAGTGTTGTGTGATGTGGGAGATGGAAGTTGGGTTCTGTTGGTCTTTACAGCAATACTGTTTATGATGATGAACATTTGGAACTACGGTAGCAGGCTAAAATATCAAACAGAAGTCAGACAGAAGCTTCCTATGGATTTGCTGATGAATTTGGGTTGCAATCTGGGTACAATTAGAGCCCCTGGTATTGGCTTGGTTTACAATGAATTGGTGAAAGGAGTTCCTGCAGTATTTGGGCACTTTTTAACATCCCTTCCAGCTATCCACTCTTTGATTGTATTTGTGTCAATAAAGTATATACCAGTTCCAGTTGTGCCTCAGGGTGAGAGGTTTCTTTTCCGGCGTGTCTGCCCACAGAGCTATCACATGTTCCGCTGCATTGCTAGGTATTTTGAACTCTACTGTGCTTAACTTGGTTGTAGCAATAATTCATGGAAGCTTATCTTAAAAATAGGCAATTTGTTTGATAGATATTGATACTTTTCTTGTTGAGTCTTCTATTTCTTCTATAAGATGAGTCTATCAACAGTATTATGCGCTGAATTTATTGCTAGGTTCAGTTACTTAGTGTCCTACTTGCAATTATTACGTTCCTTTCATTTTAATGATTGATCAAATTTATGTCATTCATTTGGGATAAGTAGGATAAAAGAAAGAATTACCCCAAAAAAGAAAACTATCAAGTACATGACCATTAAAAATTAAATATGTAAGCATTCAAACCGAAGGGTCAGATACCAGATACTAATAAAAACAATGTGAATTGTCAACTTGAAGAATAAACATAGTGCAGCCAATCAAAACACTTAACCAGAAGATAAATATTTGGTAAAGAAAGCATGAGAAGCAAACCCCACATAAGTGTTGGAAGGACTATTAGCATTGGGATTGGCCAGTAAACTATCCACCTTCCTAAATTATATGAAACAGCAGCCAATAAAATTTGATGCTTAAACTTGGAGAGAAGGTGGAGGCCAAAATTCAGGAGACTATCAGCAGAAGAGGAGAGAGTTGGAATCCCCATCATGGAAGAAAATAGTACGATATTTAGGTTAAAGAGGAGTTGGTCAAAATGTTCATGCATCTGTGCGACTTTTTGGGTCATGGAGGATGTTATTGAGTGCATCCTGACGCACTTGAAGATGAGACTACCATATGAGGTGACCAATTCTCGTGTGGTTACTTGTGGGTATTCCATTCTCACAAAACTTGATTACTGATGGTCTTACTGGCTCTCCTCTTTTATTCTTTCGCCCATTGACCGGTTTGCTAATTCTGCTCTTTTGAGCTGTTTTTCGGAGTGGGGCCAATTTGTTGTTTGTTGCCTATACTCTTCTTTATCCTTTTCATTGGAGCATATATGTCCACTGTTATAAATAGTGGTAAATAACGCCGCTATTAGCATTAGTAGTCCCTTCCCGCTATGCTATCTCCTAATAGCGGGGACATATTGTGGAACATGCGCTTTCCACTCACAAAAGCGGCCAATAGCGCGCCATAGCGGTGAATAGCGCGCGATTAGGGGCAAAATCCGCCTTTTGTCCGTTAATTAAAAGTGTTTGAGGTTTGTTTTTTTAAATTAAACTTGACTTGCAACCACTGCATCCCACCGCCTCCTGCGATATTCGGCGTATTCCCGTCGCCTCCCACAACCTTCGACACCTCCCTCAGCACTTACTCTCACCTCCTCTCACCGTGAGCTCTTCCTACTGCAGTCCTCTCACCGCTCAGCTTATCTTCTCGAAGATGACTATTCTTTGACTTCTCCTCCAGTCGTCTTCGGTGTTATGTGACCATTACATGTCTATATCATGTTTATGATCTCTTTAAATCATCAAATATGTACTTTTAGATTTTCTATATTTTTCTTTAATTTTTCTCATTTTTTGAATGTTTATACATATCTAAATTAGACCGCTATTTGACTTTGTTTTTTACAGCTATGTTGTCGCAATAGCCCCAAATAGCCCTAGCGATACCTCACCGCTACGCGACACTATCCGTTATCGATAACTTTGTATATATCTTATATGTCTTATACGTTCTTATATGTTCATTAATGAAACAAGAAGCAATATTTCTATTCTTTTCCTTCAAGAAAAAATAATCCCACTAAGGAGTTCATAGGGATAAGCGGTAAGTTTATCACAATTCACAAGCCCTTAAGGAGATAGTTTGATTCTCTGAAAAGGTTGCAGTTTAGAAGAAGATGCTGCTGTCTGTTTGTGCGAAGAAACTAAACATGAACAATCAGTACTCACGAAATCGTTTTTAGGAAGCTGCAGCTGTAGAAAAGATATTTTCTTTCATTTGATGATCCAAGAAACAGATCGAGTTGCTCCTTCCATAAATTCCAACATGTACAAGGTTTCTACTAAGTTGGATTCTATAGTGCCTACATTGCCTAGAGATGAGAATACGGAGATGGGAAGAATCTATTCTACCTATAGTTGCGCAGTTGTTGAAAGCGAGTGGAGGAACACGATAAGGTCGATTATAATCCATTATATAATTGAAATGATTTATACCCTTATCTTGAATGTATCCTTTTTTTGGTAAGTAAATAAGCTTATTACCAAATAGCATGAAAGCTCAAAACAGTTCTGTATACGAACACAGCCCTCTCTATCAATACCTCACTATCTCTCTTATATACAAGACTTAAATTGAGGCTACAATGACCAAAAGGAAAATCAATCTCCTAGAAGTCTCAAATAGGAGCTCTCAGCAAACTTCACTGCTAGGCAAAAACTGGGTGTATACGCGTAGCCCTGCACCTGTCCCTGTTCTGCTTAGTAGCTTTAACTCTTTTAATCTTGCTACATTGCAGTTTAATCTCATAAATTATTGAGTCAACACATTCCTCTAAGGTTACAGATTTTTGCTGGAAAAGTAGTCCATTCCGAGCTCTCCAAATAGAGTACATGACTGCTGCAGCTGCAGCTGCAGCTCTTTTTATACAGTTCAAAGAAGAGCTCCCTCTGCGCTTCTCATCCAAATCAAAGCTTCATCCCAACAAACTGGTACCACATCCTCTTGAACATATTTCATAACATTCCTCCACACATTTACTACTGTATCCGCATTCAAAGAATAAGTGGGGTCTTAAATGTATCCTCGTCAGTATTTGTTTTAGAACTTTTCGCTTGCGTCAGTCAGCATAAACTGACTCTCTTCAATGGTTTGCATATGTTCATGTTTTGGATTTTCTTATGCATCTTTGAACTCCTCCATCATAAATATGTAGATAGTTCTTGTTTAGTCGGCAATCAAGTTTTAGCAATATTTTGTGCGACTTAGTGTCTCTTTTAAAATAGGGTTTTTGGCATATATACCCCTCATATCATGCGTATTTGCGAACTTTGGGAGAAAAGTACCCCCAATCAGCAGATTATTAATTTTGCTCGATATGGTGAGTAAATATTTGATTATTTTGTTGATAGTTTTACTGCAGTTATAATCTGCCTATCAGAGTTTGATGATTTGTTCACTTGGGGCTAAGTAGATGCAACTTTGCAAATACTAAGATTCAGGGGTTAGTTTTGCAAATATGCATAATTTAGAGGGTATATTTACAAAAAACACTTAAGAATAACATTCAAAAATCATCTTCAAATTGGCCTCTCATATGTAGATACGGTTACAAGGATGTTCGCAAGGAGAATCACCACACATTCGAACAGCTCCTTATCCAAAGTCTCGAGAACTTCATACGCCGAGAAGCTCAAGAGCTCTCTCTAGCAAGCGACGATGATGCTGATTCTGACACTGAAATCCAAGTATCAAACTCGAGAGTCATCGTGGCCTCCAATGGCATCATGTATTCTCTCAGCATCCCTCTTCTTGCTAACGAGAAGCCAGCTTCTGAACCCAGTACTTCTTCATCTCATCTGAGTCGACAAGATTCACCTTCTGCGGCTGCTTCTGCTGAAAAGAATCTTGAAAGAGAGCTTGCTTTATTGTATAAGGCCAAAGAGATTGGACCTGTTTATCTCCTTGGTCATGGAGATATCAGGGCTAGAAAAGATTCATGGTTCTTTAAGAAGCTGATTATAAACTACTTTTATGCCTTTTTACGAAAGAATTCAAGGAGAGGCACAGCAAACCTCAGTATTCCTCACTCCCATTTGATGCAAGTGAGCATGACTTATATGGTCTGAGAGTTTGCCATGTTTTCCATCTATTTAAGTTTTTCAGATCGATTTTGGTGTTTTTCATCGAGGCAGTTTTGGTCATTTTCTGATTTCTGTTCATGGTCTAACTTCTGTAAAAATGGGCATGTATAAAGTACTCATAGTGGTGGACATTGGAGACATTTTGAATTATAGAAAGCAAGTTGTTAATTAAAATTGCGCTTTCTTGATATTTGTTTTGATAATCATGTGGTTATAGGTTTGATATCAGACTTTGTAAAGAAAAATGGTATGTGATTATCATGAGATGAACTTTAGATTTATTTGTGTTGTAACACATTAAAATTTCTCAGATTATCCTTCCGATAAATGTGTTAGATAGAGTAGTTTTGATTTTCTTTATTTTAATCCTACATCAATTAGAATTTTAGATCCTCTCCTCCTACTCTTATATTTAAGCAGTTCAATACAATGAATAGAACAAGCCTTCTGAAGTCTCCTCTCTTTTCTTCTAAAAGCTTTATTCTTAACATGGTATCAGATACCTCCTCTTAATCCCAGAGAGATCTCTTTCTTCTTCCTCTACATCGAGCCGCCGAAGGGGTTTTGCTGAAAACTCCCCACTTCCCTTCGACGGTTTCGATACCGGATTCAACCTTGACGCATCGCTCGCCGTCGGCCACCTCCGAGCCCTATGCCCACACCACCCGAAGCCTCAATTGATTGCTTGGCATCCTACTCGACCACTGTGTCCACACCGCTCGACGGCTCGATCAACATTCGACCAAGCCTACCAAATCTGCACTAACGTGAACCTTGCTTGCGCCAGATTTGCACCTGCTCGCCGCCGCCGACGCCTCGTCTGCAGGACTGCACCATCGCTGATCCACAATACGATCTCGCTCGCCCACATCAATATCACTTGACCACTCGACCCAAAATCGCATCACCGCTCGACGTCGCTTGACACTTCGTGCGACCACGCCAACCACATCTACACCATCGCTCGACTCAATTTGAACCAAAACCGCACATGCTCGTCCATAGCGCACCCATCGTCGACCAGTCGTCCACATGACCACACCTTTGATGCACTAGGTGACCATGCCAGCCATATCTGCACCATCGCTCGACCCTGTTCGAGCTAGAACAACATTCAATCTCCACGAAGCACCCAACGTCGACCATTCGTCCACATGATAGTACCGTCGCTGCACCAGGCACGCTAACTCTGCACCAAGACTTGACCAACAGAGCCAAAACTGCACCACCACCCATCCTATGCCACTGATCCCGAACCAAAAATTACCTCAAACCTGATTCGCCCCAACTACCCCATCCAAACCCAGACATCACCAATTTCTAAGCCTCGCAATCCCTTACACGCAAGCAACCCATGCCCAACAACTGTGACATCCCACTAATTGACAGCGACATTTCAAATGAAATTTAGTCTCACATTGGTGGGAGAGTGGGAAATTGAGGTGTTTATATAGTGAAAGCTAAAGGTTCAAGCGTAACATCGGCTAGTCGATTTTGGCAGTGGTTTGAGCCAAACAGTGCGTTACACTCGGTTGGTCCCATGGCTTGCATGCGCTAATGGTCCCGCAGGCCCGGGGCGTGACAACAACCATACGACGATATGCCAAAACAACTTCCAAACTTGCACACCTAATTTTCATAGCAACAGCCACCAACTATTTGTCTTAATGTCCCAACTATAGCGTCCATGGCAGCGACACCGCCGAACCCTCCTATCTGTAGCGCTCTCAACAACGACACCACGGGGCCAAACTATACGACGATCTTACCACTCGCAATTCTAGCAACCAATATGCTCCAATTCAAGCACGTCTCATCAAGCCATGCCAATAACCATCTATGCAAATTTGGCTTATCTTATCCAAACTCTTAGTTGTTTACTGACCGTGAGTTATATAGTAGTATTAGGGTATCTGATTTTTTTTATTTTAGTCCTACATCGATTAGGATTCCAGAACTTCTCCTCTTACTCTTATATTTAAGCAGTCCAATACAATGAATAAAACAATTCTTTTGAAGTCTCTTCTCTTCCCTAAAGTATTTTTTCTCCTAAAAGCCCTATTCTTAATAAGATGGGGTTGAGTAGGGAAAACTTGGGTCTCCGATGAATCCTACACATGACAACAACTAGTTAGGCGGCGTTGGAATAATACCTGGGGTTGGGGCTTCAAGTAGGCCCTCTAATGCCTAAGTTAGTGTTGATGTCAGTTATCCAAAGGGGAATAATTTGCAGGTTTGAGGAGTGATTAGGATCCTCTAACTCCTTTTGATGTGTGGCTCTGGGGTTATATGTTCTTCCCTGTATAAGAAAGAACTCGTAAAAGGACGGAGATGGGTTCTCCGGTTGTTCCTCCGACGATCCAGCCAATAGATAATCTTGAGTGAGGAAAATATACGGTTAGCTCTTAGTTGTGTAAAAGAGACCAGAGAGATTTACCTCATGCAATGCCTCTCCTTTTTGTAGTGGATCTGAGGGATAAGAAGGTAACTTGGGCTGAGTCTAACTAGGTAGCTGAGTCGGCAGACAATTGATAGGTATTGGCCCCTGGTAAAGATGAGCCATCCAGGTGGTTAGAGCCAAGTGATGACAGCTGCTTGGTGCTAACGGTAGTCTGATAAGTCATAAAGATTTTGTTGACCAGAGCAATAATGACTTTGTTAGAGTAGTTAATACAAGGACATGCGCTGTCGGTGCGAGGTTCGAGAAAACTACCAACTCTTTTAGTCGTCCAGCTGATGGTCGACTACAACTATTGAAGGCTACTATAACGGGTCGAGTGAAGGTTATTCGTAGAGGCAATTGGCTGGGTTTGGACGACAAGTACCGCATTTTGACTCAGTTATGCGAGATGTCGGCCAAACAGTGGGCCGAGCCGGGTTGCACGAGGAACCAATTGAAGGGTTGGACGAATAATACCGTATTTTGTCTCGGTTATACGAGATGTCGGTCCATTAAGTCGGCCATGCAGAGGCCGAGATCTTGATTTTGAATTAGTTGTATTAGGTATAGTGTAAGACACGTGTCGATTGTTCTTTAGAGATTAATATTTAGTATATTTTTTAGGGGTACAACAGTTAGAATCTCTCTTAGATTAGTAAAGAACAGTAAAATCCGTTGAATCCTAGCAAAAGTTAGGTCAGAAAAGTTTACCATTGTTCATTATTTTTATAAGAAGCTATGCGGCTGTAATTGAATAACGAGAGAGAAAGGGACGCGTGACTCCATCAAATTGATAGGGGTAAGGAGGTTCTTACTAGGGTCGTTCTTTATTCCTAGGAGAGGACGAGGCATGGATGTGTGTATGCATGAGATAGTTCTCATCTATCTAACGGTCTTTATATATATCAGGGGAACCCATTTGTGGTGAATGGTGCTTGGTTTTCTAGATTGGGGCTCGCCCAGCTCCCTTTATTGTGGAGTTTTGCTTCCGAGCTCTTTTGAGAAAAGTGACGGGAACATTAAACCTTTACTTCCATGGCTCACATGATGGACACGCGATGGGGCATCAATGCTGACGCGGCATTCATTAATATTTTTGGGGTATAATAATTACATACCAATACCTGCTGAACTAATACGATGTGATAGTCTTCGTTTCTTGCTTGTGTGTTAGTTACTTAAGAGTGTATGAGGCCCAAAAATCGCGCGAGTATACGCTAATATTGTTGAAGAGTACCTAAGCTCCTTTTCTTCTTTTCTTACTATTCTTCTTCTTCTTTCTCCCTTTTTTTTTGGTGGGTGGGTGGGTGAGGTATGATAAAAGAGTACTTAAGCTCTAATTTCTTGCTTTTATACCAGGTCATGTTGGAGTAATTAAGCATATTTTAAATTTTGCAGTCTTTAATTGGGAACACTCAGATGGTGTTTGGGTAGACTTATTTTTGAAGCTTATAAGTTGTGATAGCTCTTAATGAGTTTTGGTTTTTATGATAAAATGCTATAAAAATTATCTAGATAGAATAGTAATTTGTTTGGTCAAACTTATCTTATTTAGGCAGCTTATAAGCTAGTTTTTAAAAAGCTAGGGTACATCAGTTTTTTAAAACAGAACTGATAAGCAAACTTATTTGATATTTTACCAAACAGGAAGAAATAAAAAAACTACAAGCTAGTTTGACCAAAAAATAAGCCCCCTAACTCCCCCTCAAACTGAAAGTAGACTGTATAACTATCTTCTTCTGAAAAAAGGAACTTCAGATTGAAAACTTTTATTTGGATATATATATATAATGTAAACAGACACATGTTACCTTGGAACAACATATTTTTACCCAACCAACATCTCTCTAATAAAGTAGGGAACTTGGTACTTGTATGGGGAAGAACCTCCACTTAGGGCATGTTTGGCAACCTATTCTACTTAGCTTATAATCCTTATAATCCACAAATATCTTATAAGTCAAGTAGATATAATCCAATATGTTTTGTAATTTTAGTGGATTATAATCCATTTCCAATAGGTGAATGAGAAAAATAAGCTGATACTTCTCTGACATCCGGGAAGGCCTTGACTTCTCTATAGCTCTTTTGGACCAAGAATAATCAGAAAAGTAAATTGTATCGTGGTCAAAATGAAACTATACGCAAAAATGATCATTTACAGTTTGATAATGGGTACCAATACAACAGACAGCCAAACTCTAACATGAAATATAAATGACCTCTCCATTTGTTTCCACCTCTAGCTAGGCAAAGGCAATAAGACATTGTTCGTTTCAAATCCAGTTTGCCTCCGCGCAAAGCACAAAGTATGCTCAAAGCTCAGACAGGATACGCATCCATGACAAGAGTTTTATCCTTAATCAGGAAGAAGGTGCGTAGACACCGATACGCAACAGGAGTTCCATGAAAAGGATATATATAGTCACTTTCTTTTGAAACACAAGACATTGTACCGAGTATTGATCTTCAATGCCGAAGTTTTTGCACCAAAGCTGCCAAGGAATTGGATGAACAGGATGATGAGGACGATGCTGCACTCAAAGAGTCGTGAGTTCCCCTGGCCTCCATTATGTCATGCATCATAGAGCAAGTTCTATAATACTGGATTTTCACATGATGCACAAGATATCGTAATAAGGGTAATTTTGTAGCTAAGACGGAGACAAATTTCTGCAGTAGGATCACTTAATTTCCTTTCCGCATTAATTGCAAACAAATGACAGGAAGCAATAGTTTGTTGCTGTAACAGAAATCAATTTAGTAGTCACAATAGCCCCATGATGGACTATATATAGATAATTAAATTAGTTACCAAGACAAGGATAAATTATAGAGTGCTGCTACGGGGACCTAAAATATGGGACCAAGGGAGGGGACAGGTGAGGTGTCCCCTCCCTATTGCAAAATGACAGGAAGAAATAATTGTTCCCATATTTTGGGTCCTTAAATCATTTTCCTAAATTATATATCATTCGCCTATTCATACAAGTTTTGGAGGATATAGAAACTAACTCGATTCAGAGTGGCAAGTTGCATCTATAACTTATTCCTAAACTACCATATTCTTCCTCTTCACAAATTTATACCTTTACTTTGAGTTTGAGGAAGAAAGTTACTGAGGGATATTTGATAAAAACAAGTCTTGCGTGAGCTGTTCTAAACCCAACATAACAGTAAAATTGATCGCGAGGTGTTATGTAATAGAAATATAATGGTAGGGGGTTTTCTAATAACTGGTCACAGCTGGAGATTGTTTCCATAATACTACCCTAAAAAAATGGAAATTCAGGTTTCCAAATGAATGGGGCCCATAATATCTTAATTATCGTTTCTACTTTTAAGCATACAATCGCGTGAACCTTCTCTGTTGGTAATTTCTATATCCAAGTCAGCATGACTAGGTGTTTTCTCTCTCCAGGTTTCTTCAAACCAATCATTTTTGGAACTCATTGGATAATTTCTCAAGTTTCTTTTTAAAAAGGTTAAAAGGCCATTTTGTCCCTGTACTAGGCCCTCATTCTCAAACTGGTCCTTGTACTTATTTTTTCTCTCAACTTAGTGCTTATACCTCACTTTAGTTATGAACTATGTCCCTTTTTTTTTTATCTTCCATTAAAAATTGAGTGTTAAATTTTTATCTGTGACACCATTACCATCAAATTAATCTATTGTCAGAAAACACCATACTTTTTATGTTTCTCTTAAAAAACTTTCTCTTCATGATTTGCATCTAATCTTTTACTTTTCAAAATTGTTCTATTTGTTAACAAAATTAACACAATGATTGGTTTGTCCATATACCTACTAAACAATTAATGAGTTAATATATTGGACGATTTAGGCAATGGGTTAGCTTACAAAATGCAATTATAAAGTAGATAGAAAATAGTGTTCTAACCTTCCACATAATTTTCTTCTTATTTTCTAATTTTACTCTGACTTGTAATCTGATTAATCATTTAATCATTTGATCATCTCATAACCATAAGGGTAAATTTTTCAAAACCCCCCTTATTGCCCATTTGTATGATAACTCGCCTTAAACTATTTAATTTCGCAAAGCCCCCCAAACTTTAACGGGTTTTGCACATAACTCATTGAACTTATTCTGTTCCACTTATTCTGTTCCACTTAACTCTTGGGAGATTTCTTTTTTATCTTTAACCCCCAAAGTAACAAGTAACCTACATAATTTTCATCTTATTGCGCTGTACTTGTCAATGGTACACCTACAAAAATTTTCTCTTGTAAACGAGGGCTTAAACAAGGCGATCCATTATCTCCCTTGTTATTTAATCTTGCAGCAGATGTTCTTTATAGAATGATTATGAATAATGTTGAGGAGGGTCTTCTATCATCTCTTGGTCTTAGAGAACCTCTCAATCAATTGAGGATCTTACAGTTTGTGGATGACACACTACTATTTGTCAAAAGTGCTTCAAGGGATATTTCTACTCTCAAAACTATTCTTTACCTTTTTGAAGACATGTCTGGTCTGAGTATTAACTACTCAAAATCATCTATCATATATTTTGGTAAAATGCATCTTAAGGCTCAGACCCTAGCATCTTCTTTAGATTGCAAGGTTGATCACTTACCAATCAAGTACCTTGGCCTACCTCTTAAATATGGGAAACTATCAAAATCTGATTGGCAACCTCTTATGGATAATCTCTACAGGAAGCTGGCTACTTGGAAAACAAATTCTTTATCTTTTGGAGGGAGATTGATTCTCCTAAATTCAGTGCTCACCTCTATTCCTCTATATTATATGTCCTTTTACAAGCTACCTAAGTGGCTGATTAAGGAAATTGATAAAGTCAGAAAAAATTTCTTATGGACAGGCAAAGCAGATGCCAATTCTTTCAAATGCTTAGTGAATTGGAAAATGTATGTTTAAGCAAAAAAGAGGGTGGACTGGGAGTTAAAGATATATCTTTGTTCAATGTTTCTCTTCTATCAAAGTGGTTATGGAAGTGTTTACATAGACAAACAACATCAGGGGACTTCCTGCACAAGCTTTATGTCCATACAGGCACAAATCTTCAATCTCGAACTTTCAATTACTCAAACTCCTCTTTCTGGAATGCTGTTATATCTATTAAGGAGGCTTTTTTTCACAATATCTTATGGGTGCTAGGCTCAGGAGAAAACATTAGATTTTGGGAGGATAAATGGGCTTGTGCCAATAGTCTAGCAAGTATTTTTCCTGATTCATACAAGTTAGCTCTCTCCACAAATGTATCTGTCAGGAGCAAAGGTCTTTTTCATTGCAACATATGGCAATGGCAATTGTTGATGAAGAGATGTATCTCACAGGTTACTCAAATCAACAAAACCAATCTCAAGGATCTTCTCAAGAATTATCATGTTCTCAATAGTCCAGACTTTCCATCAATCAACAAAACCAATCTCAAGGATCTTCTCAAGAATTATCATGTTCTCAATAGTCCAGACTTTCCATCTTGGTCTCTTACCACTGATGGAGTATTCACTGTTAAATCCTTTTACAGCTTTTTAAGCTGGAGAGGAGTGATTAACCCTATATATAAAATGATTTGGAATCCTTTGACTCCTTCTAAAGTTCGTATTTTTGTTTGGCTCCTCACTAATAACAGACTACATACTAAAGATATTCTACAATCAAAAGGGTGGAATGGGGACATTACTTGTTCCTTTTGTGGATTGGAACCTGAGACAAGGGAACATCTTTTTTTCTCATGTTTGATTACTAAGCAAATATGGCTTCATTTCATGAATTACAACTTACCTTTCATTTGGCCGAATTCTTTGGAAGAGCTTCTTATCATTTTAGAGAATCAAAAGCATCTCTATGGACTTTTGTGGTGAAATTTTTTTTCATCTGTATGTTGGAGCTTATGGACAGCAAGGAATAAGTATATCTTTGATCATACAAACTTCTCTATTAAGAATATTACAAACTCAGCTATACATTGTCTATATGAATGGATAGGCTTTGGAAGTGGATCTGCAGCTATGAAGTTATCAGCTAAGTTGGAGGGAAAACCAATTGCAAGGAAAACTTGATGTCTTGTAAGAAAAAAGGGTTGATTTTATTTGTTTTTGTTATATAAACACAGTATGTATTATTCTTTTGTTGTATTGGGTTTTAGAAAATTTAGTTTCTCATTACAATATATATGGCTGGCTTTGGTTCTTTCTTATATCTATATCAACGGTGAATAACGGCAAGGCCCTCTCTTCACCTTCATGGATGTTTGAAAGAAGAAAGTCATATATCACTTGTTTTGAGAAACTACTTTTTCTAATTTCCAATCTTGGATACATCTAGTATCCTCTTTTATGTAATTATTTTGGCACTAATATAATGACAGGGTACATCCCTTGTTTTCTTTCAAAAAAAAAAAAAAGTAACAAGTAACCCTCATATGCTAAGCAAGTGACCAGGAAATAACAAAACACCCCTCAGCCCTCAAAAATCATCATATTATTTTTTATTTTATTGTCATCAATTTTCTTTGACGGATGTTTTGTGTTTTCAACTTTTTCATAAAGCACGTTACACGTTATCTTTGACAATAACTATTGGATTGTGTAATAGAAGAAGTTTGGGGGTTTGTGTGAAAAATGTTGGATTTAATCTAATAAATCTATTTGTGGGCACATATGATTAATCAATGTGTATTGCTATCTTTCAGGATAACCCACTAAAGTGATCAATTAAGTTGGGTTAATGGATATTTAAATATAATCATGGGGTTATATGTGCAGATACCAGGTTGTAATTGTAATTTATTGAGGGGCTAAATTACAAAAGTACAACATCTATAAATAAGGGGTTATGGTCCCTAACCTAGGGTTACATTCTCTAATTCTCTACACCCCCATAGAGAAATTCGGCTAAAGAGAAAACCCTAAGGTTAGAAGATCCAAAACCCAAAATCAAGATCAAGCAATGGATTCAGGTATAAGCTTCCGCTCTTTTAGATCCTTGTTAATCTCTTTGAATTAATCATGGCTATAGTTTTAGATCTCAAGTTTTATGATGTAGATCTAACAAGTGGTATCAGAGCCACCTTGATTAATTCTTAGGGATTTAAGTTTTATTGGGTTTTTTGATCTTAAATCTCTGGTTAAAGATTCAATTTTGTTCTCGGATGAACAGTAATGTTCGGATGAACAGTAACGAAAATTTTCGGATGAACGGTAAAGTTTTTTTCGGATGAACAGTACCTGAAAAATCGCCGGTGAACAGTAACTTTTTGGAATTTTTTGGATTTTTCTTTGGTTTTTTCTTCAATTTTTCCAATTCTGGATCTGTTTTGAAAATAAAAATCAAAGGTTTTTTGGGTTTGTCGGCGGCGGTTTCAATTTGAAACCCTAAGGGTTCATGCGTGAAATCGTGGCGAACATTAAGGAGATGGTTACCTCAAACGAACCTCGCGTTCGTTCAATTTGAACCGAACTTCGCGTTCAAACGAACTTCGCGTTCGTTATCAAGTAAGCCTCTCGCTCAACGAACTTCGCATTCGTTCTAAGGTGAACCTCGCGTTCAACTCAGGTGAGCGTCAAGCTCAATTTTAACGAACCTCGCGTTCGTTCTAAGGTGAACCTCGCGTTCAACTCAGGTGAGCGTCAAGCTTAATTTTAACGTATGGGCCCTAATTAAGCTGTGAGACCCCAATTAAGTTTTTGGAAATTCAGTTGATTTAAATTTTTTAATTTAAATCTAATTCGGTTTTTAATCAATTATTTAATTCAAATATTATGACACTAAGGTATTAAGGTTGTCTCTCACTCCAATTGATTAATTGAAACAAGAAGTTGCCAAAGTAACCTCTCTTGTGTAGATTGTTCATGAGGAATGTGAGATGTTTGTGTGTATGCTTTCGTGTAAATATTTAATCGGCCCAAAGGAAGGTTAATATTTATTTAGACTGTATACACATCTGCGATGATAAGCGTGTGACAATTATAAGGTTTACATGTGAATAATGAATCGATCCAAAGATAGTTTCATTATTTGACATGAGTTATTGTCAATGTTTGATCATTGCAACAAGGTATCACTTACAAGTTAATATTACTGTCCAAAGACTTGATATTAATGTTGTGCCGGTATCTTGGATGGGGATTGTCATTATTTGAATTTTATTGATTATGGTTATTGATGTGAGCATTTGTTGTTTTATTTCAGCTAATGCATCTGCTGCAACAATTTCTGCTAACATCAACTCAATTCCCATGCTAAATGGGACAAACTTCAAGGTTTGGAAAGAGAACATATTAATTGTTCTTGGCTGCATGGATCTTGACTATGCATTAAGAACTGAACAACCCCAACCTCTCAATGCGGATAGCACTCCTGATGCAAAGAAGGAGCATGAGAAGTGGGAGCGTTCAAATCGCATGAGTCTTATGATCATTAAGCGCGGCGTTCCGGAAGCCTTCAGGGGCATAGAATCCGAAGGGATTACTAAGGCTAAAGATTTCCTTGCCGAAATTGAGAAGCGTTTTGCGAAAAACGATAAGGTAGAAACAAGCACGCTTTTAGCTCGCTTGATTTCAATGAAGTATAAGGGCAAAGGAAATATCAGGGAGTACATTATGGAAATGTCTCATATTGCTTCAAAGCTTAAGGCACTTAAACTCGATCTTTGTGACGAGTTATTAGTGCATCTGGTTCTGTTGTCTCTTCCTGCACAGTTTAATCAATTTAAGGTCAGTTATATCTGGTTGAAGCAAGATAAGACAGAAAGTGCTCATTTGGCCTATGCCTCTAAGGATAAGGGCAAGAAAATGAAGAATGATAAGGAGGCTGCTAAGGGTCCAGTTGAGAAGAAACAACATAAGGATAATCAGGGTTGTTTCTTCTGTAAGAAGCCTGGACATGTAAAGAAGGACTGTACAAAATATCACGCCTGGCGTGATAATAAGGGTACGTTCCTTGCTTTGGTCTGTTCTGAGGTTAATTTAGCTTCAGTACCTAGAAACACTTGGTGGTTAGACTCTGGTGCTACTACTCACATAAGTGTTTCTATGCAGGGTTGCCTGAGCTACCGAAAGCCAAGTGATGTTGAAAGACACATCTTTGTGGGCGACGGACAATCGGTAGATGTGGAAGCAATTGGGCACTTTAGGTTGTTGTTAGGAACTGGTTATTATTTGGATTTAAAAGATACTTTTGTAGTACCGCCTTTTAGACGGAATTTGGTTTCTGTTTCTGTATTGGACAAATCAGGTTATTCTTGTTCATTTGGAAACAGTCAATTCAGTCTATCTTTTAATTCAAATGTTGTGGGAACCGGTTACTTGAGTATTTATGACAACCTATATTTGCTTGATACAATTACTTCTTACAATGAATCCTTACAAGTGGAATCACGTGGTACTAAGCGTAAATTAAATAAGGAAAATTCGGCGACATTATGGCATAAGCGCTTAGGTCATATCTCAAAAGGTAGAATTGAGCGTCTTGTGTCTGATGGCATTTTGGATTCCCTTGATTTTTCGGACTTCAACGTATGTGTTGAATGTATCAAGGGAAAATAGACCAAAGTGAAGAGATTAGGTGCCAACAGATCTTCGGATGTCTTAGAATTGATACATACGAATATTTGTGGGCCATTCCCTAAGGAATATTGGAATGGTCAACAATATTTTATATCATTCATATACGATTACTCACGTTATGGGCACCTATATCTTATTCATGAAAAATCTGAGTCTCTGGACATGTTCAAAGCCTATAAAGCTGAAGTTGAGAATCAACTCAACAGAAGAATTAAAACCGTCAGATCTGATCGTGGTGGTGAGTACTACGGTAGATATGATGGTTCAGGTGAACAACGTCCAGGACCATTTGCTAGATACCTAGAGGAATGCGGTATCGTCCCACAGTACACTATGCCGGGTTCA